TGTGAAAAAGGATCAATTTAAAGACACATATTTGTCATACTGTGCAAGTGCTTCGGGGGCCTCACAGGGTCCCCTTCATCAGGCTCAGAATGACATTGTTTTGGACTCCCCATAAAAGGAACTCCGCCAAAGCTGTCCCCTCCCTCTGAAAAGGCCAGTGGCCTGGCAATGTTGCTTCAATACTCTGGCTTCCTCACCACCACTACTGTGCTAGCACCTGGCAAATATTTCTGCTCTTGGTCAGTCTCATTGTCACAGGTCGGCTTAGAACTATGAGGTGAGTGGAAATCACTCACCTCATAGTTCTCCTTTAATAAACTAGTTGGAATGGAATCCAATAACTTAAAAATGAATTCTCTCTTTGTTTTTGTTCCCTACAAAATTAAAAATCAGTCGGAAAAATAATATGTGATAATATTTCATTTATTGCTCTGCCTACTGCCTTCTGTCAATCAGCAGAGGAACGCACCTGAGAGAGAAAGTTGTCTCTCAGTTACGCTCCTCTGCTCAGTGGGCGGGTGCAATAGCCAGCCTGCTATTGGCTTTTGCAATTTGAAATAGACAGGGGGCGCTGTGGTGGGTGAGTGGTCAAGGCTGCACCCTAGGTAGCAGTGCACCCTAGGCAGCAGTGCACCCTAGGCGTCTGCCTAGTTTGCCTAGCGGCAGCACCGGCTCTGGCGGCAGTGACAGAAAAAAAACCAGAAAAAAAGGTACATGTACTTTTTTTTTTTTTAAAGCGATACACGACGCACGGCTGTATTAGCGGGAAACCGCGCGATCTGCCCGGCGGGACTGGGGTGCCATTAGAAAACAATAGCACCCACAGCGCGATCGGTTCACACCTTGGCGACTCCTGACCGCGCGGGATCGTGCACGATTGCCGCGCGGTGTCGCCTAGGTGTGCGCCGGCCCTGAAATACAAATTGCTGCGAGAGAACAGGAGAGGTCAGATTACACGCACAGCTGAGTGAGGCGTGGAATAGAGACACCCCTCCTAGCAATAGGTAAGGTTGTCTTAATTAGTTAACACAGGCAGCTAACAAGCATGTCATTGTGTATTTTTTTTTAATAATGAATCCGTTGTATAAAATTGTTCTTGTAATTAAAATAAACTTTCAGAGAACTATTTAAATTGACCAAAATATTTGTATTACATTTATTTATAAACTATTCTACTTCCCCTGTATATCGGGCTTTGCAAACCCGAGGGGGTTTGTTTTTTCACACTGGTCTGCAAGTTCTTTTTCTTTTCTGCAGCTTATTAATACACATGAGTCATTCATGACTGGAACATTCTCAGCATTGGAAGACATAAAGCAGTGAACTCATTTAGAGCCGAGTGACATTTGAGATGTCCAGGTAATTAATTTAAGTATTTTAGGGATCTTCGGTGGTTGGTATAATAGATAGGAAGTTCCTAAAATCACAGGTGGCCAGGTGCCCTACACTGGGACTACCCTGCCCTACAGGGAGGGTAGGCTACAGGGGGACTACTACTACCCTACAAGGGAACTACCCTACCCTAAAGGGGGACAACTCTACACTTCCATTACCCTACCAGAGGACTACCCTACCCTACAGGGGGGGATATGTATACCCCAACCTATTCTGCATGGGACTATCCTTCCCTACCACTACTCTTCAGGGTGACTACCTTACAAGTGGACTACTCTACCACTACCCTGCAGGGGGACAACCCTAGCCTACAGGGGTTCTACCCTACCCTACAGATGGACAGCCCTACCCTACAGGGGGGCTACCCTACAGGGAGACAACCCTACAGTGGGCTACTACTACCTTACCCTACAGGGGGACACATCTACCCTCCAGGGGGACATTTATATCCCACCCTACCCTGCAGGGGGACTACCCTACAGGGGAACTACTACTCCCCTACAGGAAGGCTACCCTAATCTACAGGTGCGAAACCGCACTCAAGTTATCCTTTGATATGTATGCTTCAAAATGCAGGCTCTCAAAGATTAGAGTTAGGACCACACTACACAGAGGGGACATGACGACTCAGTGCGGCTTCCACATATTTTGCGAAAGTTGTGCAACTAAAACCCCTGTTTTTTTTTGCTGTCTGTGTTGTCCCAACAGGAAGTGAAACAAAATCTTTTAAAATATATGAAATCCTCTATTACACAGTTGTCACCCAAACAAGTGTTATCATTAGAAGAGTTTCCCTCTATTCCTGGTGAAAACTAAAAATGTTGGCTTTCCCCTCACTACTTTCTAGCTTGGTGATAATGCTCACCATGTCGCATCTTCACAACGGTGAACCAGACAGCAATAACAACCTCACAGGGGTTCTACCCGGTGGTGTCACTAGGGGGTGCGGCCCGCACCTGGGTAACACCATTACTGTCAGTTATTTTGGTGTCGCCCCCTTTGAAAGGTCGGACACTCGCTTACGGACCGAGAGCCCAACAGTTGCACGAGAGAGGAGGGGGACCCGGTGGCATACCTTATCCCGCTGGGTGAAAGTCCCCTCCTCTCTCTGCCGGCGTCCATCACTAAGATGGCAGGTAACAGCGCGTGACGTGATGACGTCACGGCGGGGTGTCACCTGGTGGCCGCTCTGGGATGCCCCTGTTCTAACCTCACACAACACAAGCCAAAATGTTTTTTTTTTTAAACAACACTTTTTTAGATACATTTTAAATACAATTGGATACATTTTAATCTGGATGTTTGACATAGAGAGATACTCGGAGTTCTCAGCACCCGCAATATCTTCCCCGAAACAAAGTATTGCTTGCCTGCTGCTTTCTGAGTCTCTGTACCCAGGCTGCTGTCTCTGGCTTTGCTGCGTCTCCCAGCAATATAATCTATGCTGTCTTTCCAATCAGCCCAGTGGACAAGAACATTTGTTATGTGAGCCAGTAACGCGGTCTCTATCACTCAGCAGAAAGTCCATCATTGTCTGTAATGTTCTGCTGTACCACAGCACATTATTCAGCCTTAATATGGCTCCTCTGCGCCATGCCGACTTACTCGAGCGCTGGATTTAATGATATTTTTCTGCGTCTGATCGTCCTGTAATGAAATCTCTACCCTGACACAATGGTGTACGCGGTTCCCTGGTGCTGGGCCTGTGTGAGATAATAGAAAAACGAGAACGAATGGAAGGCCTGTGGGACATGGAAGGGCCGGCTCTGCTCCAAAAGAAATGTCTGCAGCATTGCATGGAGCATCCTCGCCTTCTGCTCGTGTCCTGATCAGCCGAGGGGAGAGCAAAGGACATTGGCTTTAAGTATCTCATTGATAGAAAGTATTTGGCCTTCAGGAGGCCACTGGGGCAGCTGCGGCATGCCGCTGCTTCTGTAAGCCGACTCTGAATTCTTAGAACGGTGTTGTGTGCATTTAGGTGGCTCAGGACTGCAAAACCCAGCAATACATTATACAGCAATGCAGACTAAAACCATCACCTATAGAGGGCTACAAATCCCAGCAATACATTATACAGTAATGCCTAATGGCACGGGCTATAGAGGACTGCAAATCCCAGCAATACATTATACAGCAATGCAGACTAAAACCATCACCTATAGAGGGCTACAAATCCCAGCAATACATTATACAGTAATGCCTAATGGCATGGGCTATAGAGTACTGCAAATCCCAGCAATACATTATACTGCAAATCCCAGCAATACATTATACAGCAATGCTGAATGGCACGGGCTATAGAGGACTGCAAATCCCAGATATATATTTTACAGCGATGCCTAATGGCATGGGTTATAGAGGGCTGCAAATCCCAGCAATACATTATACAGCAATGCCTAATGGCACGGGCTATAGAGGACTGCAAATCCCAGTAATACATTATACAGCAATGCAGAATGGTACAGGCTATAGAGGACTGCAAATCCCAGCAATACATTATACAGCAATGCTGAATGGTACAGGCTATAGATGGTTGCAAATCCCAGCAATACATTATACAGCAATGCCTAATGGCACAGGCTATAGAGGGCTGCAAATCCCAGCAATACATTATACAGCAATGCCTAATGGCATGGGCTATAGAGGACCAGAAATCCCAGCAATACATTATACAGCAATGCCTAATGGCACGGGCTATAGAGGACTGCAAATCCAAGTAATACATTATACAGCAATGCAGAATGGTACAGGCTATAGAGGACTGCAAATCCCAGCAATAATTATACAGCAATGCTGAATGGTACAGGCTATAGAGGGCTGCAAATCCCAGCAATACATTATACAGCAATGCTGAATGGCGCGGGCTATAGAGGACTGCAAATCCCAGCAATACATTATACAGCAATGCTGAATGGCGCGGGCTATAGAGGACTGCAAATCCCAGCAATACATTATACAGCAATGCAGACTAATACATCACCTATAGAGGGCTGCAAATCCCAGGCAATACATTATACAGCAATGCTGAATGGCACGGGCTATAGAGGACTGCAAATACCAGCAATACATTATACAGCAATGCAGACTAATACATCGCCTATAGAGGACTGCAAATCCCAGCAAAACATTATACAGCAATGCAGAATACAATGTTGCTACATACTCTGTGCCGCTTAAATGTATTTTAATAGTACCGGGAGGTTGGGGGGGATTGCTTGTGCTTGAAGGTAGCCTGGCACCATTGCTGGAGTGCATACAGACAGGAAGAGGTTATAAAGAGTCTACAGGAGATCAGCGACACTGACATGTAACAAAGGAGGGGAAAAAAGCATTTTATTTAAAACAAATGACAATTGTTACACCAGAGCAAACCAAGCGTCATTCAGAGATAGAGTTTACGTCTCCTTTAGCTGTGTGTCCCTGCGAATGTTTATAACAGTGTTGACAATGATTAAGCATGTGACATATTTGCCATCACATATTGCTGCTCACCCCCCCCAGCTGTGTATGGCTAACCGTGTGCTAATTGTCAGCTGACAGAGGCAGCATGTTACAGTCGTGTCTCATCTGACGGGGCCTGTTCTTTTTTTTTTTTTTCTTGTCAGGTGACAGACGGGGGCACCATCAAGCAGAAAATCTTCACATTCGATGCCATGTTCTCCACCAACTATTCTCAAATGGAGAATTATCGCAAGAGGGAAGACCTGCTGTACCAGTCCACCGTGCGGTGAGTACACAACTGATCCTTTATTAATGCATGATACTGCTTTGTCTGGTTTTCCTCCTTAACTCTGTCTCATGACCAGAAACATATATATATACAGGTGAAACTCGAATAATGAGAATATCGTGCAAAGTTCATTTATTTCACTAATGCAACTTAAAAGGTGAAACTAATATATGAGAGAGACTCGTTACATGCAAAGCGAGATAGTTCAAGCCGTGATTTGTCATCATTGTGATGATTATGGCTTACAGCTCATGAAAACCCCAAGAACCCCAAATCCACAACCTCAGAAAAGTAGATTATTACATGCAATCAACAAAACACGGATTGTACATAGAACAATATCGGACCTCTGAAAAGTACAAGCATGCATATGTACTCAGTACTTGGTTTGGGCCCCTTTTGCAGCACTTACTGCAATTACTTTTGCACGATATTCTAATTATTCGAGTTTCACCTGTATATATAATGTAAGCATGCATACAGCTGTTACTTGGTACACTGGTATATTTACAAAAATTATGAAAAAACATTTTATTGACAAAAGTGCAGCATATCACATAAATGCCACGTTCCGAGGGTCACGCAGGATCCCCTTCTTCAGGCAAGACATGTGATACAATGTAAGTGTGTGGAGAAGAACTTGTCACACTCCTTACCGGAAATCCCAATGATAGGGATGGGTGCTGAAATAACTGTGGATGGCGCCGCTATCACATAGGTTTGGTAGATTTCATTCTTACACTGTATCACATGTCTTGCCTGAAGAGGGGGATTCTGCATGACCCCGAAACATTGCATGTATGTGATATGCTGCAGTTTCGTCAATAAAAGACGCACTATTCACTATTTGGAGTGCCGGGGCCATATTTATGCTTTGCATATGTAACGGTGCCATCCGTTGGACACCGCAGCACCCACCAGTCGGTTCAGGACATATCAGTCAAAGTGCGATGGTGTCAGGGACCCAGGGGGGTGTTCCTCACAGCGTGGGCATCAGGCACGGGCTCCTCCTCCTGGCAGGGCATCTGACGCTGGTATTGCCGGTGCGCAATGCGCACTACGCGCAACGAGTACGTAAGCCGCGCGCGTAGTGCGCCTGCGCCATCCCACATTCCAGGTGCTACTCAGGCTGGGTGAGGACTCCAGCACTCACCAACTGCCCTCGGCCTTGCGATTGGCTCCTGACTAGGGAAGCTTCCTGGTTGCCCTGACAGCCAGGGGGCGGTCCTGGGTTCCCTGTGTATATAAAGCTGGTCAGAGCCTTGACTCATTGCTGAGTTATTCTACCTAATGGTGAACACCCAGCTCCCTACTGTGAACCTATCTGTTGATCGGACTTCCCGGCTACCGACCCTTTCGCCTGACCCTTCGCCTACGAATCTTGCTGCCTGCCACAACCCGGACCTGGATTTGACTACTCTATTGGATTACACTTGGGTTACTGCGATCTTGGACTTGTTTTCGTCCCTGCCAAGGGGTTCCACTCCCGGCCCAATTACCCGGCCTGACAGATGGGTTCATGGACCTTCGCTTCAGATTGAGAAAGAGTCCATTCTGCAGAAATTAGTATACAATATATACAATGTGATACATACATACAATCATATCGTATACAATATCATATCAGATATGTGGGAGTAGAACAGCCAGGAAAGCTAAATTACAAGGTATTAGTTTGGAGAAATTCGCTAATAACATTTACGAAAACATTATCTGCTTACAAAGTTAATACATTGATCAGAACTACATGTGAGGTCCTGAGCCTGCGGAGTGAAAATTTGATCGGCTGTCTTATTCTCTGGTAATCCAATTGAAAGACCCAAAAAGCAGCCAACTAGAAGACTAAAAAAATGACAGATATTTGGAGGTTGCCAAAACTTTTCCCTGAAGCAGAGTCGGGGAGGGTTGCTGTCTGTCTCTGTTGGGGATATTTTTTTTTTTACTTCCTGTCCTGGTGGCAACATCAGAAATTAAAGGACTCTCTCCTGTGGGGACACAGCAATAAAAATGTGACCAAGGATCTAAAATTCTAATCTACTTTGGCATGAGTGGCTGGTTATTGGTCAGTGCTGACCAATGAGAACGTCTTCTGAGATGGCCATGCTGACCAATGACCACTCGCCATTGCCAGCATTATGATGCTACTCAGCCCCTATGGTTAAAGTTTTGCAGGGAGAGGTCCATTACGCCAGCTGGCATGAGTGGCTGGTCATTGGTCAGTGCTGACCATTGAGAACCTCTTCTGAGATGGCCATGCTGACCAATGTCTGCTCACCATTGCCAGCGGCATGTTGCTACCCAGCCCCTGAGGTTGAAGTTTTGAAGGGAGCAGCCCATTGTGCCAGCTGGCATGAGTGGCTGGTCATTGGTCAGTGCTGACCATTGAGAGCCTCTTCTGAGATGGCCATGCTGACCAATGACTGCTGGCCATTACCAGTGGCATGATACTACCCATCGTACTGTCTGGCATGGGCGGTAGAAGGTTGCCATCTGAGGATCTAAGTCCACCAGGACACAGGGGTGGGGAAGGTGCAATAAGTCAGTTCACCTGTAAATTTTTTGGTGAACTTACCCTTTAAATACCTCCATATCCTGCGTACACATGGGAACATCTGCTCATGTATGTGTGAAATATATTAGTGGCTTTTAACTACAATTGGCTTGGGTTAAGCCCGTGGTCGTTTGAGTGTTATGTGCAGAGCTGGCGAGTCAAAGAAGTTTTGAGCCTTTTTAAAAAACGCTTGTTGAAAGCCTGATGACAATGACAATAATGGGCTATTGAGTTATTATCGAAGCCGTTAAGGCTGTAATCCCCCGTTGTTGGGCTGTATGGTCAATTTGCTGCCTGCATTTGAAAGGACGGAGACGCACCGAGGTCGTATTGGGAGAAAACATGAAAATTGTATTAGTAAAAAAATAATAGAAAATGAGAATATTAC